TGTTATATAAGATCTGGGTGGAATCTTTGTGCTGTCCATTCCTACAAAATAGGATTAATCATACCCCAGTAGATGACTCACTACCACACATCTGAAGACAGCAAGAATTAATAGCAGTTCTAGCCAGCTGGCCGAAGAAATCCTCAACTTGGGTCACCTTATGAATCTTTCAGACCAATCCCTCCACCCTTCTTAGCTGTCCCAAGGGTTCATTCTTTCTATCTTCACCTCTATGAATAAGTGTCAACTCTGATCAGCAACAAAAGTTGGATGCTAAAAGCAAACTGGGGAAGTGCCAATTTCTAAAGTCTTTGAAGACTGTGTTGTGTCAAGCCTTCCGAAGAACCTCTCACCTGCATCCAAGCCAAACATTATAGACAGGGCCTAGTGCAACACTGTGTTTTCTGCGGTTTTAAAAGAGAATTTTAAAACCAAATCCAATCTCTTATTGATGACCTTTGAACCATTAGCCACTGTTGGGTAGTCGAAATGAAACAAGTACAAGTATTATTGCTTATCTTCAGGGTGGATCTACTCACCAAAATCGTTGGTTGAAAAGTAAAAAAATAAAAAATAAAGCCGCCAAAGCAGTTTTCGGTGTCATGTAGACAAAAATGTGCAGAAACAGTGTATACCTGCACACAGAATTCAGGAAGCTGGTTTGAATCAAAAGATGAAGCCTAGTTTTAGAATGTATGTAGTCCATCACATAGGATGTTCAAAAGAAAACTACTCTTTGGGGAGGGTCAGACACAAATGACAGATCAAACTAAAGAGGAAGATTGCTTTTTAAAGAGATGGAGCCAGGCATGGTGGCTCATGCCTGTAATCCCAGCACTTTGGGAGACCAAGGCAGGAGGACTGATTGAGCTCAGGAGTTAGAAACTAGCCTGGGCAACTTAGCAAGACCTTGTCTCAACTAAAAAAAAAAAAAAAAAAAAAAAAAATCAGCTGGGTATGTTGGCTCATGCCTGTAGTCCCAGCTAATCAGGAGGCTGAGGTGTGAGGATCGCTTGAGCCCAGGAGTACAAGGCTGCAGTGAGCCATGATTGTGCCACTGCACTCCAGCCTGGGTGACAGAGTGAGATCCTGTGTCAAAAGAATAAAACAAAATTTAAAGACATGGAGTTATCAAAGCTAATCAGAAGAAGAGATTTAAGCATCATGCTCAACACTGAAACCCAGCATCTATCACTTAGTATCAGTATCTGTCTTCGATGCTGAAAATCCACATGATTGGAAACGATTCTGTCTTGGTGTTGAGTGGCTACCATCAAGTCAACCAGTGATCCAAATCATTCAGATACTGTGCGAGAAACTAGTCATGAGAAGCTTGACTTTTTTTTTCGTCAAATATGTCTCAACCTCATTTGGACAGAAATGGAAAATGACATTTGAAACTGTAATCCGTTAATACGTAGTCTGGTTCTTTCCGAAGGTTGCAAGGTTTCCAAGTTCTGAAACTCATAACTAACTAACCATATGGAAACAGAATGTTCTACAAATCTTGGCTTCCCAAATATTGTCGGAGTATGAGTGACTTTCATTGACACTGTGCAGGAACATACTTGCAGGCAGTCATCCTTATCTGGCCATACTCCTTGCCAGCGCTAGCCCTTTCCTCTCATAAGACGAGTCTCCTTACTAGGACAAGATCACTGAATGTTAAATTTCTACCACCAAACCTTTGCTCTTGCTGCTTCCTTACCCCATACAAAGTGCAGGCCTTGCTTATCCTTCAAGATCCATCTCTGATTCCACCTGATATGGTTTCAGTCTGTGTCCTCACCCAAATCTCATGTTGAATTGTAATCCCCAGTGTTGGAGAAAGGGCCTGGTGGGAGGTGATCGGATCATGTGGGCGAATTTCCCCCTTGCTGTTCTCGTGATAGTGAGTTTTCATGAGACCTGGTTGTTTAAAGGTATGTAGCACCTCCCCCTTCGCTCTCTTCCTTCTGCTCCAAACATGTAGGGACATGCCTGCTTCTCTGTTTTCTGGGCGACAGAGCGAGACCCTATCTCTCTCTATATATATATACTTTTTTTTTTCTAAATTATTCCTATGCTTTTATGCTGGTCAAATTCATTTCTGGTCAATACAAAATACACCATGATTGTAAGTTTCCTGAGGCCTCCCCAACCATGCTTTCTGTACAGTCTTTAGAACATGAGCCAATTAAACCTCTTTTCTTCAAAAATTACCCAGTCTCACATAGTTCTTTATAGCAATGTAAGAACTGACTAATACACTACCTTCCCATGAAACTTTCTATGACTACTCCCCCAATTGGGATCTCTGCAATTTCTCATAGCCCATGGGACTTACCATTGGTATAACAGAAGTTGAGACTCTTTGTTGGTCTTGCTGTCCCTACTTACTACTCTGCTCTAGTCCATTCTCTAATCATATCCTAACTGCCACAGCTCAACTCCCAAATGAATCCCTCAGAGAACAAGAGTGGGCTTGAAAGTCAGACTGATGTGTCTTCAGTGTGGAGCCCTTCTACTTTTTCTAGGTCTGAGAATGGTTGCAATACCCACTTGGAGCTTCTCTCAGCTTCTTCATCCACTAGGAACAATGGTACCCATATCACAGGGTTGTTGTGAGAGACATTTGTAATGTGACAATGGCACAAGGCATGGTACATATTAAGCAGGTTTAATAAATGGTAGATATGTCTGGACTTCCCCATGTACTGTGCAGGATACAGAATTGGTAATGGGTCATAACTTGAGTAATGAATGTATTTTCAGTGCAGTATCCCTGATCATTGGATTATAAAATAATAATTCTGGAGTTATAAGGCTGGGAAAGGTTATAAGATATCATCTTATTATAATGTATTTATTGATATGGAAATATGTTCACAAACTACCATTAAACCAAAAAGGCACTTCCTTAAATAGCAAACTTGGGATCTGTATGCATTTGGCCACATGTGTGTGTACCTTTGTGCATACATAAAATATCTTTATCTATACCTGTATAGTTAGATTAAGAAGTACACACTAAACAGTGGTTAACCAAAATGTTAACAATGGTTATCTCTGATTAATAGGATTGTAGACCATTTATTGGTATTAATAAATTAAATATTTATTATGAGTATGTACTATTTACATTATATAATTGTTCTTATCTGTATTAATTTTTCTGTGTTAATTTTTTATTATGAACATGTACTACTTGTGTAAATAAGGCATAATACATGATTTTTAAAATGCCATATATATAATTAAAGTATGAATAGAGAAAGGGGCTTGGAGGTAGGGAAAATGCAAAATTAAAAAAGCAACTTTTTAGAGTCATGGGATTAGGGGTGCTTTCTCAGCCCCCACATTTTCTGTTTTATCTTTCACTTGTTTCTTGTTTCATGACCTTTACAATAGTTTTAGTTTATACAAATTATTTTCTAGGCCAGATGCAGTGGCTCATGCCTGCAATCCCAGCATTTTGGGAGGCTGAGGTGGGAAGATCACTTGAGCCCAGGAGTTCGAGACCAGCCTGCCCAACATGGTGAAACCCAATCTTTACCAAAAAATACAAAAATTAGCCAGGTGTGGTGGTGTATGTGTATAGTCCCAGCTACTTGGGGGACTGAGGTAGGAGAATCACCTGAGCCTGGAAGGTCGAGGCTACAGTGAGCTGTGATCATGCCACTGCACTCCAGCCTGGGAAACAGAGTGAGACCCTGTCTCAAAAAAATAAAATCATTTTCTAAATTATTCCTATGCTTTTATGCTGGTGAAATTAATTTCTGGTCAATACATAATCAGGCTGTTATTAACAAGGCAGTATTCTAAGAAGGGAATCTTCTTCAACATCTAGAATTATCAAAATGTATAAAATGGACTGACTATGTCTTGACCAGTCTGTTAACTGGCTTCTTTCTGGTGGACCCCAGTTATTTTGACTCTGGTACTCAGTGTCATGTGGATCCTGCCTAGAGTTTCCCAATTGTTCCACAGCTCTGGGAACTGAAAAGCTCTTGTGCTGGTGGCCAGAGAGGGAGAGAAGCCTCTGCATGTGTGCATCAGCCTATTGGAGTTGTCTTTTGTGAGGCTAGAAGCATGGTGCCTGCCAGAGCTGTGAGTAGCCCTGGGATGCAGACTGTCCTTCCTTCCCATCTGCTCTGCCAGCAATTGTCCTGTCCCAGTAAGTACCTTCCCCTCTATGCCACCCTGTCATGGTGGCCAACTCAGGACTGGGATGTGGAGCTCTTATTCACAACCCATATGAATGCCAACTGGATTTGTAGCACAGGTAGAGGAAAAAATGGGGCCAAGGACAGGGGACACAGGATAGAGTTGGAGAAAGTCTGTTCTTTTTTCTATTGACCTTAGGAACAGGTGACTGTATGGTTACAGTGGCTGCCTAGATTTTAAACTCAGTTTGTTTTACAGTTTCAACACAATTGGAAAATATTTGTTGAGTACTTACTATTTGCCAGACACTTAGTGATATGGTTTGGCTGTTTCCCCACCCAAATCTCATCCTGAATTGTAGTTCTCATAATCCCCACCTGCCATTGGAGGGACCTGGTGGGAGGTAACTGAATCATGGGGGCAGTTACCTCCATGCTGTTCTCATGATAGTGAGTTCTCACAAGATCTGATGGTTTTATAAGGGGCTTTTCTCCCTTTTGCTTGGCACCTCTCTTCCTGCTGCCATGTGAAGAAGGGTATGCCTGCTTCCCCCTTTCCACCATGATTATAAGTTTCCTGAGGCCTTTCCAGTCATGCTGAACTGCCAGTCCATTAAATCTCTTTCCTTTACAAATTACCCAGTCTCGTGTATGTCTTTATTAGCAGCATGAGAATGGACTATACACTTAGCTATACTAAGGAGATACACTGGTGAACAAAGCAGACACAACTCCCTTCCCTCATTGACTTTGTATTATACTGTTGTAGAGATTCTCTCAAACCTGATGATGGCTTTCCAATTCTGATCAAAACAGAAAATAATGTAATGAACTCTGGATTAAGAATCATCTGAGACACTTACCTGGCAGTGGAAATACCATGATCACAAAGGTGGTTTTTCCATGGCCAGCCTTATCCATTGCACTCAGATGTGCTGACCCCTGCAATTTCCCAAAATGTGAAAAACTTGACTGCATAATTTGTGATAGTGGGACTTTTGTTCACACTTTCCCTGAGGAAAAAGAAAAAGAAAAAGGAAACAGACGAGCACATTCAACATTTCTCAGTGGTGTGGTAGATCTCTAGGGCTTTATCTCCTTGTCTCATTCAGAGTGTGCCTCTTCCAGGAAATAGGCATTTACACTATGAACACTTACTTTGATCTATTCTGCATGGTCTTTGATATCCTCTGTCATTTTGGAAAATAGCCCCAGAATCCAGACTTTCAGCTTTTGGGACAAGGTAAGCATAGCAAGTAGACAAAATTCCTTTCACCAAGAGGTGGAAGAAAGTGTAGTCTGTTTTACTACATATAGATGTAATGAGGTGGAAGAAAGTGTAGTCTGTCTTATTACATATAGATGTAATGCTGGGAGTATAATTTTCTAATAACAGTAAAAGAGAATGTTATAGAAGATATACAGCCTGCTAAAGAAGAATTATTTTATATAAAATGTAACTATGTCACAACGTGATTATATCTTTGTGGTTTTTTTGTTTACCTGTTTTAGAGACAGGCTCACTCTGTTGCCCAGGCTGGAGTGCAATGGTGCAATCATGGTTCACTGTAGCCTTGAACTCCTGGGCTCAAGTGACCCTCCCACCCCGGCTTCATAAGTAGCTGGGATTACAGGTATGTGCCACCATGCACAGATAATTTTAAATTTTTTATAGAGATGGAGTCTCACTATGTTGCCCAAGCTGGTATGGAACTCCTGGCCTCAAGTGATCCTCCTGCCTCAGTCTCCTAAAGTGTTGAGATTACAGGAATGAGCCACTGTGCCCAGTCTGTCTTAGTTTTAAGACTGCTAAAGGGTGGGACTTTTCGGCAAGTACTTAACTAAGACGTCCCATATTTAGTCGAGATCTTTTCCCAGATTGGCTTAGAAAATATGAGTTTGTCCATTTGTCAGTTTTCTTTGGTGAGGGGTTGTGTCTGTGTGTGTGTGTGTGTAGGGGGGTATATTCAAGAATATAGACAGTTTTTTGTTCAGAGAACATGGCCTGAAGCTTATAACAATGCTTTATCAAATCCCCTGGCACTGGAATCCAATCACTGATTTTTATTAAACTTTGGAGCTTTTGAAATTCTCACTGAGCTGAGGTCAGAGCTGGTGAAGCGCTGCCCCACTGCATGCCCTGATAACCACAGCCTCTTGGTATATCATCTTAATGGCCAATGGAACCTCCTCCTCTTCCTCCCCACCGTGACTGACATTTTCAGAAATGCCCCAAAATGGCACTAAACGATGTGCAAACACACTAGATGGATTGCTAATCTCTTTTCGAGGCTTTCTTAATGGTGCATTCATAGCTCCTTGGAGCAAACTCAATTTCTCTCTGTGCACTCTGTTTTCACTTTTACAATTTTAGAAGAAATCATTTTGGCAAATATATTTTGTGACTTGGATGAGAGGTAATTTATACAATTGCTTTACCTAGTATGACAACAAGCAGCAACTCCAGTCACAGGAGGATGAATGGCTATTCATCAATCACAGCTGAGACACATAAATGGGTCTGGAGCCTTTTATGTGGCTGAAACCATGAACTTGGGGGCTACTTAAGGCAAATCTTGTTTCTTTGCGGGGAGGGCAGTGCAGATAGAAACAAAAGTCAGCTCTTTGGATCTTCACCTTTATATTAATCACCAAATCTTAAGAGAGCCTCAAATGAGCCCAACAGAGAGGATACAACTTTAATGGTACAAATGACACAGTGCTAAGGGTGGGCACTGCCAGGTCATCCATGCCAGGGATGCACCTGTGGCCCCGATCCCTGAGGGTGATTGGGCAAATGAGTGATGCGAGATGATAATTTCTCTCAATGGACCAGTCAGCACACCGCATATTTTTCCTGGGAGTGCCTGTTGTCACCCCCAATGAAATTCCCAAATCTGCCCAGAAGATGTTGCTTTACACCTCAGGCCCAGCAGAAATTTTAACATTTTTGAACACACATACACAAGTACACACAATCACACAGAAAACACAGCCTTGGATGGAGGAGCTCTTATCTATGCAGCTTCATGGGTTTCCTCTACACCAGTGGTTTACAACTATGGCAGCACATTAAAATTACCTGGGAAGTTTTTAAAATTCTCAAATGTCTAGGCCCGCCACAGACCAATTGAATCACAATTGTTAGGGGTGGGACCCAGGAGCCAATATTTTTCTTGAGCTCACCATGTTATTCTGATGTGTGACCAAGTCTGTGAACCACTGCTTTAAGCAGTTAAGGCCGATAAAGGAAATGGGTCTCTAACTTTAGTGCATACTGGAATCAACTAGGGAGCTTGTTAAAATGCAGATTCAGTAGGTCTGGGCTTGGGGCCTGAGATTCTATATTTTTAACAAGCTCCTTAGGCAATTTTGAGGATGGTGGTCCATAGACCACATGTTGAGAACCCTGGCTAGAGAATTCTACTCTGGAGCTTGCATGTTTCCCAAGCCTCTTCTATTATTTAATTTCATAATGGTCCTCTCCTCTCAAACAGCTTCCTCTTCTGCCTGTGCATATGTGGGAGGGTATAGTCCCTGGGCAGATAATCAGTTCAGTAAATTCAGAACCTTCACCTTGTAGTATCCAGAAGAGTCAAGACAATGCATCAAAGGGATGCGGAGGCATGGGGTTGGGTTTGGAGATGGACAGAGCAACAGGAAAGAGGAAAGGGACTGGTTTTAGTCTAGTAGGTACTGAAAGTGAAATTCAGATTTGGAGTTAGGAAGTCACTCTGGGCGGGGTGCAGTGGCTGATCCCTGTAATCCCAACACTGTGGGAGGCCAAGGTGAGAGGATTGCTTGAGGCTAGGAGTTCGAGACCAGCCTGGGCAACATAGTGAGACTCCATCTCTACAATTCTTTTTTTTAATTAGGTGGGCATGGTGGTGTGTGCCTGTAGTCCCAGCTACTTGGGAGGCTGAGGTGGGAGGATTGCTCGAGGCCAGGAGTTCAAAGCTGCAGTGAGCTGTAATCACACCACTGCACTCCAGCCTGGGCAACAGAGAGACCCTGTTCCAAAAAAGAAGAAGAAAAGAAAGAAAGAAAATAAGGAGAAGGAGAGGACATAATTCCTGTCTTGGATAGTCAGAGTTGGGAAGATCAGTCCCTGCAGCACACCACCCAAAAGGTAGGATATACTCAACCTGGGCCTAGACAAAGACATCCTACCAAGGGTTCTGGAGGGTGCCTCCATAGTTACCTCTTCTACCTCTACAGCCCCCACCTGTACAGCATTGTTTTCTTGTCCAGCTTTTCTGTTTTTGCTGAACCCCAGGAAAACATTCTGAGTATTGCTGCTGCCAAGCAACTATAAGATAAAGGGAAAGGGATGAAGTGGGGAGGAACCGTAGCCATGAGAAAGAGATCTTAAGTGTATCTTGTAATTGCATATTCTCACTGGATAGTTATCCATTCTTCTGTGTATTTTACTGCCCATTCCACAGACTCAACTGATGTGGAATTAGAGTGCACAGCCCTTAATGCCAGGTAACAAGCAAAATGCTACATGGAAAGAGTATGGATTTTGCAGGTAGACCGGGCTCCCATCCCACCTCTGCCACTTAAAAATGGTGTGGCCTCCCCATGTCCTCCATCCAATAGTAACACCTCTGTTGAGTCTCTCTGTTGGGGGTGGGAGAGCATGAAATTAGAAAAGGCTTCAGAGAGGAGGTCGAAGAGTGGAGTAAGATTTCCATGGCACAGATAAGAGGAAAGAACTTCCTAGGAGGAGGCAAGGATATGCAAAAGACTGGAAAGGATGGTTGCTGTACTGTTAGAATTTGTTACTGGCATCAATCCAGGTGGCTGCCGTACAGTACTTTGTTGTTGTTTACCATATTTGTTTTCAACTTGTAGTTTGCATTTAGCTTGCTCTGACCAATCAGGAGATGGGTATGAGTTACTTTGTTATTTCTTTGCACCGGACTTTGCAGAATATTGGCAACCTAACAAGTGCAAACCCCCAAGTACAAATCTGGGTCCTTTCTACAACATCCAGCCCAGTGCTAACTGATCCCAGTGTTCTCAACACTACATTGCACCCAACTCTAACGTTTTCCCATATTTCTCACCTGGTAGCAGCAAGAGAGCCCATTACCTGTTAGAGAGGGACAGGATCAGTGAACACATGATCACAGATTATCGAGAAGGCTGCATTTGAGCTGGATCCTGACAGGTGGGCAGAGATGGAGGGAAAGGACATTCCAGTAGGAGGCTGATTACTCTTAAATAGTGGTCTATAGCACAGACATTGCTGCTAGAGGGTCATGGATTCAAACTCTATTATGGCCATTTCCTAGTTCTACTCATGATCCCCTTCCTCAGTCCTCTCTCACCCCACATCCGTTCTCCCAGTAATATAAACACTCTCCTAACTGCCCATGCTCAGTTAGATCTTTGCTTATCCTGTGTATCTGATCTTCAATGCCTGCACAATCCCCTTCCTGTAACCCACTTAGGGTACATGGTCAGAATAGTCAGACCATGACTTACTAGCTGTAAGATGTCGCTTAACTTCTACGAGCTTCAGTTTTCTTATTTGTAAAATGGGGATATTAAAAGCACTCCTTTAGCCAGGCATGGTGGCCTGCTCCTGCCATCCTAGCTACTCACAAGGCTGAGGTGGAAGGATTGCTTGAGCCCGGGAAGCAGAGGCTGCAGTGTGCTGAGATCATGCCACTGCACTCTAGCCTGGGCGACAGAGACCCTGCCTCAAAACAAACAAACAAAAAGCACTCCCTTACAGGACCGTTGTAGGAATTAAATAAAATACCTTGTGTAAAATTCTTAGCATCATGTCTGGAACACAGCAAAGTCTTAGGTTGCTATTTAATATCTCCCTATAATGGAGCTGTTACTATCACCCACTCAAAGAATTATGCTAAGTGCTGGGAATACAGTGAACAAGAAAGACAAAGTACCACCCTCCACCACATGGAGCTTACACTCTAAAAGAGGGAGAGAGTCAATAATAAACAAGCCAGTAAATATACACGACATCAAGTGGTGACAAGTTC